GGCAACGGCGTGCAAAAGTTGCGTGAATACCTCAACACCTCGGCAGAGTACGAGGGCTTGCGCGATTCTCCTGGCCCGCGATTCTCCGGCGGCTTCTTGGTCCGCCGTAACATCGGTGCCCATGCTTCCACTGCTGCAAATGCAGGAACGGTGAACGGCGACGCTGAAGGAGATGATGGCGAGGCCGCGGAAGACGACGAGTTCGAGGGTCTCGACGGTAGCGAGATGGCTGTTGATGGACAGCCACTGCTTGCACAGAATCTCGTCAACGGTGACGCACAACAGGATGGCCAGGCTCCGCCGCCCCCGCCAACCCATGTGCCCCCAACTGGAGCAGTGCCAATGTTTGCTCAACCACTTGGCCAGGCCCCGTTGTTGTTCAGCCCTACCAGTCCTAGCTTCCCCCGGTCGGCTCGTTCGCCGACAACAGCGGGTCCCGCGAATCATCCACCACCGTTGGTCGTATCTAGTCACTACTCGCCGACGTCTCCAACAGCGACGGCAGGACCCAGCTTATCAACCGCCACTGCCGTCTCGCCCCAGGGAACGAACCTAGGTTTCCCCGCGTACACCAACAGACGGCCGGCACCGCTCGGTGCCAGCACTGCGTCAATGGAGGCATCGATGTTGAGCCCCGCATCGCATCGCAGCCGTCCGGCGAGTGTCATTTCCATGGAAGCGTCAATGCTTGGACCTGCGGACTCAGACTTGGCGGAACCAGCCACACCGAGCGCGGTGCAGCATTCTTAAAGCGTCATTGACGAATATGGACTTGGACGAAGCCAGCTCGAGTTTGCAAGGCAGAGGTTTTGACATGTACGGCATGAGATACGCAACGGCAATTATACCCAGGAGCGCGCGGAAAACACGGAACACACCACTAGACTGGCACAAGGGACGTGTCGATTAGCCTTTTGACCCTTGGTCGGGCTTTTATTTTGGTCCTTGTAGCACTTTTTTGGCATTTCTTGGAGGAGAGAGGTTTGGGGCTACATCTCTCCCCGAGGCGTTGACTGGTGTCTTCCTTCAGGGTTAACCCCCCTTGGTTCTTTCGGTTCTCTTACACAAATTTTCATCATGCGCATTTTTTACCCTCGGTGGTATCAGTCACACGGAGGCGGTGGTAGGGGGTTAGACATTGGGCCTTGGTTTTGTTTTCTTGCGCTTCCAGCCTTCCCAGTTTGGTATCATAAGGGAGTCGCGAGGAGCAGAAGTGTGGCGATGGGGACGAAATCAAATATTGACGAATAACAATGAATACGTTACTTTGGTCCAGGAACGATTTTCGGCGACATCATGGTATGACGGCCCGAGGTTATGATCATAGAGAATGTAGTAGGGTGGTTCAGACCGCAAGTCTGCTTGTAGGCCTTTTATTTAGGGGTATACATGACTCCCAATGCTGATGTCCCCGCTGCCAGTGATTGACTGACTACATACGACCATACCCATTGGAGACGCATTCTCCGTCCGAAGGCGCTATCGTCTCGCTGACCTTCAACCGTGTGAAGTAAATGTCTATAGTAACAGATGTTGAAATCGGCGCTCCCAACGCGTCGCCTACCAAAAGCCCATGATGGCTGGGTTCTGATTCTGGGCCTTCAGTTCCTCGCACTTCTGCGTCACGAACCAGTGCACCAGGTCTCGGGCCGCCAGGGCATCCTCCAGGCTGTCGTGGCCCATCTTGCCAACCTGGATTTGCCGACCCAGAAGGTCCTGGGTGAGGTTCTTGAGCGAAAGGCCGCTGCCCTTTTGCTTTTTCGCCTTGTCCTCCTTGCCCTTCTGCTTGCCTTTCGAATTCTCATTCTCTGACTCAAAAGAGATGAGATCTTCGTCAGGTACCTCAGTCTCTTGGATGCTCTTAGCTTCCTCGAGAGCTAGGGCCTTTTTTCTCTCCTCTTCCTCCTCCTCCTCTCGCTTCTCCTTCTCGGCCTTGGCTGCCGTAGCGAGCAACATCGAGTCGACGACGAGGGGATGAATCCAGCGCAGCGAGGTAAGATCGTTGTTCACGCCGTGTCCGACGACGATCGTCTCAGGGCCGACCCAACGCCATACCTCTTGCCGCGCCGCAGCCACGCCTCCGGTGATACACTTGCCCTTCCGCCGGGCCTCGTCCATAGCCTGGCGGGAAACGCCAGAGTAGCGAGTGTTGAAGTGCGACATGCCAACCGCAGGGAAAACAAGGCTGTCCAGTAGAATCTCGGCGGTGAAGTAGTCGACGAGGGTCAATCGAATGAGCTCTGATTCTCCATCAAATGCGACGCCCATCTCGCAGTCTATGGCTACTGCACGGCGCGACTGGCGTGGGCCCGAGGGCGTGTAGGCGTCTGTCAAAGAGAGTGAGATGAGTGGATCCGGGTTGAGGTCGACAAGGGTCGACGGGGGTGTCCTATGGTATTGGTGACGATCGAAGAGCTCTTTTTGGGTATACGTCCTCGTAAGATGCTCAGGGGCAAAGGTGCAGCCGGGGGTGGAGGCGAAGGTCCGGCAGCAATTCCAGTGCTTTGCGGTTAGTTTAGGGGGCAAAGTGAAGGCGGAACTGGGGAATTACCATGTTGAAAACGCGGCCAGTGTGATATCGGCACTTCAGAATGGGTTTCTTCTTGTCCTTGTCTTCCTTGCCGTCGTCCCTGTCGTCCCCGTCCTTCTTGGCATCTCCCTGGATGTCGTCAAAGTCGACGATGGGAATGGACCTGGGCTTGGGCTTTGACGCTGCGCTATGCTGACGAGGATTTCTATTCCCCTTCTTTCCATCTTGGGCGTCCCCCTTGTACTTGTTTCCCCCCTTGTTACCTGGAAAAGGTCAGCTCCCGTACTACGACGAGACGTTAGGGCAGAGGTGACTCACAACGTGCATTACATCGTCGGCAGCGCTTCTTGCCCTCCACGTCTGACAGAGACAGCTGAGCGATGATGAAACCACTTTTGACAAGAAGGTCTTTGTGATGCGTCATAGACCGCAGCTGCTGGATGTACTCTGAGGTTGGTTCGATGGCTGCCGAGGGAGGGCCGTAGGGATTCCGGGCAGGAGCCTGAGCAGCGACTCGCGTCAACACCTGCGGTACGAAGAAGGACATTATGAGGTATGGCAGTGATCTAAGTCTGAATGAGTGCGCGCAAGGTAGGCAGAAGATATGTAGTGAAGGTGTGAGGTCTTTGAATATGAAGTCGGAGTTTGTGAATTGCGAAAAGAGTGTTGTTTTTTGAGATGCAGGCGGAAAGATGCGAGTTGCCGAGGTGGTAGGCAGCGAAGGCTTGCCACGATGTGAAGGAAGTCGCGAAAAGGTGAAGTGAGGTGAGGTGAGGTAGGTGTAGCGGTGGACGACGGCAGGTGGGTTCCTGCGTGTGCGCCTGCGTTTGTCTCAAATGGGCCGTCGCGTCTCGACCGTTTGCTCTTACCCGTTCCGTCGACAGTCGCCTCAATTGAGCGAGTGTACTTCACTTCACCTGTCGTCTGCCCTTTTTGTTTCCCAACTATTCTCATGCAAGGTTCTTGGCAGCGTCGTGGGAAGGCGCAATCCGGCGAGGCGCATCCAGGAAAAGGAAGAACAGAAGGACCCACCTCGGTTGATGTTTTTTTGACGCCGGAAGTCGCGATGGGCCTCCCGTCACTGCCCCCGGCCTCCGATCCGGCCAGCTCAGCTCAGCCACGGGCCAACAGGTGCATTTAGAATCATTTGGTTAGGCATACTTTAGAAATTGGGTCTTTGATGCATGTGGAGGCAATCAAGTGTAAATACTGGCACGGCTGCAGCGGTCCTCGGACAGGAAGCCGCTTAGACCTTGGCCAGTTCCGTTTATTGAGAGGACCATGCAAGCCTCGTGAACTCAAAAGCCTAGCTGGGCATTCATATCAATTGATTTTAATTCATATCGAGTAATGTCAATTTCTACGATGACCTTAAGTGTGGACCATGCACAAGCCGGGGCGGGCACGAAACGCAGTCTGGTAGTCTGACTCTTCGCTCGATGGCTGCCACCAGTAACATCATGACTACATGAGTTCTCGTCACGTCTGGGGTAGCATAGTATTAGAGGTTGATTAAAGGGAAATGAGACAGACCAACCTTTTGTTTTGGGACTTGGACTGTCGTTCATGAAGTATTGGTTTGATCTTGATTAGGTATATCTAGTCCTCCCTCGGCCTCGACGGTTGCCATTTAGACCTTTGAAATAAAAAAGGAATAAATTCGAACAAAGCCGTCAATTGCTACTGCACGACCAAATTCGTCACAAACCAGCTTTAATAACACCCAAGACCACCCTTGAATACTTTAAGTATCTACAGACCCATCTAGACACTCCATAGAGTTGGAGTCAATCTGATGAGACCCCTCCGGAAGCCCGGCGCACGGCCGACGTCACATCACTTCGAGACCTAGTATGCTTTTGTAAGAGACTCAGTTTGAGTAGACGGAAGGTTATTGAAATAAACCGCGCAGGCACCTATGCTAGGCAGCTTCGTTGGGTGTTGTGGCAGTTGTCATCACAGCTGGTTGGGATTAGCAAGTGTTAGGCCTTTGCCAATTGTAGTTCAAGACAGCAAGCACTGATATGGTATGGAGTAGTTTACAACAGTTAAAAAATCATTATAATGAAGGTTTTATTGATTTGCAGAAGGGCTTTTCTCCTACAAGAACGAGACGAAGTCCTTCGTGATGATCTCGGTGAAGACCGACCTCACCGAAAGAAGCTCACCGAGCTTCGGTGCACGGATCTCCCTCACCAAAACCCTGGCACGTGATGTAACGTGCAGGGAAGCGGTCGATTTTATGGGCCTCATTCTCTCCCACAGAGCATCGCGTTAGGCTGTTGTGATTCATGTTTGCCACGTCTCGATTCATCTCACGGCATTCAAGCAACGAGGCTGATAAGGAACCGAATATGTTGCGTGTTGCTTTGAGACATATGGATGCTAATTCAAAGCAGCGTGTGACGCCATCCTCTTCGGTAATTCCTAGCAAGCCTCCACTCGTCAACAAGCCAGGTCGTGTCGCGACTCAGTAAGTACATCGACCGCAGTATGAGCAATCCTGCGAACAGGCAGTGAAATCATCGCCGATATCTTCACCATCGCTCCAAGTCAGATCGCCTCCAGCTACTTCATCCTCATCTTCGTCCTCGCTGCTCATCACAGGCTGCCCCAGCCATGATGCCCATTTCACCGACACGCCTTCCGAGAACGGCGGAGTCACCCCCGAAGTCTGGGCTCGGATCTCGAGTCTGTCCAGAAGTTGCCGGCTGATCTCCAGCTTTCCGCCTGGCTGAGTCCGGGCCAGGCCGATGATGTGATGCAGTAGCGCGGCCAACTGCGAGAGCTTTCGGTTCATCTCCCTCTCCCAGTCGCGGATCTTCTCCGACACATCCATGACCTCGATGTCATTGAATCTGCCGCGATCGTGGTATGCTAGTACGAAGTTCGGTATCTGTGCAACCCACATACGAGGAAGCTCCTCGCCGAGGAAGTCCTGACCTCTGCGCATGTTAGAACGCGTCTTGAGATCGAAGACCGCCGACTGAGGCACGTCGAATCCACCTGGCTGTATGTGCAGCTCAGAGGAAGGAACAGGGTTCACCGAGGTTACCCCATTACCCTCGAAACTGGCGATGAGTTCTTCGAGAGTGCTCCCACGCCCCTTTCCTAGAAGTTTTGGCTTGCTTGACGAAGTCAACTTGTCTCGGAGATAGCCGTCGCCCTCGTGTCGGACAATGCACCTAAGACCGCCAAAGGTGTATTGCAAGATTCTCTGATGAGATGCTGAGCCCCGGACATCGGCGTCCCAGGTCGTGTAGGCCTCTGGAAAAGTGTGGCCGTAGCCTCGGACATTCGGTATCGTCTCCTTGGGCGAGTTCTCTCTGCGGATCAGGTGTACGGTGTTGCCAACTACTTCGACGAGCATTCGAAATGGCTTTTCGTCGCCCCGGACGAAACGAAGAAGATTTCCAAGTGTACTCCCGCACGCGACGATGTCTACCCCTCCTTCGAGAGGCTCCGGGTGGGTTGCAAAGACGGCCTGAACCATCGGCTCCATCGGATGGGCGGGATACCGGGCAGCGTTCTTGTCGCGGTAGTAAACACCATCGTCCTCCCGCAGTTTGACAGGCACTGCGAGCGGTGTCCACATGGGTGGTGCACCTTGTCCGATCAGCAGGAGTAGTTAACAAACTGCTTGGAAACATACCAGGAACAAGGATACTTGGTGTCGCTTGGTCAAGCCAGTTGTACGAGGCGAGGAGACTGCAGTCAGTCACCCGAGCGGATGATGCAAATGTCGTTGCAGGCTTTGAAAGCTCAGCGATGCTCATCGACTGAATGATGGCCCCGAAGGGTGGAGCTGGTGATGATTCGTCGAGCTCAGGCCGACGCCGGCGATAGTTTCGTTGGTATGCGGTTTGATACATGCTGGCCCTCATCATTTTGGAGTTTTCGTCGCTTGCAGATGTGTCTTTCGAACTGAGACTGATCAGTGATCGCATCTTGGGCTGAAGTATGGGGCATACCGGACTCTCCTTATGAAGCGCTGCCTACGCTGCAGTCTGCCTTGGGTGTGCATAATGGGCCACTCAGAGGCTGTGATGCTGGAGGCCGACCAAAACCCCAACCGCGCCACCAACGGCCGTCCAGATTGGCCTTCGATGGATTTCGGTTGGTGCCTTTTTCTACTTTCCCGCGTCATCTCATTATCTTTCCAACAAAGCTGTTGGACGCCGAAGCCTAACCTTGTCTTGCCGGCCTGATGCTTCACATGTGATAAGTACAGGCAACCCCTCGTGAAATCTACATCTCTCATCTCGTCGCTACCATTTCGCTGTCGATTTCTGTTCCCAGACTAGGAAGTTACTCGGAAAGATCTTCAACGGAAAGGAAGATCTAGACACAAATCCACATAGCTATTGCTTCGTACAAGCCAGTATTCCAGTCCCTGGACCTCTCTCGCTACTGGAACAAAACCGCTCAGCATGACTGCCACACAAGTCCCCCAGACCGACCCCCGTCGCGCTACTCGTCTTTTAAAAGTCTTCAGAGACGTCACCAAAGGAGGGCGCACCCTCACGACGGCCGCTGATGCCCGTCTCTTCCTCGAAGCGATTCGGACGAACGAGTCCCCGACCGAATGCTTGGAGATCGTCACAGCCAGCAATGTCGCTCAGAACGCTCTTCGTCACAGCCTTCGAACCGACTCCTCGGTCTTTTTCATCCGCTCACATGTGCTCTCTTTCGTCGCTTATCTGAGCGAACCCGCCGTCAAGATGGCCTACAATGGCCAGCTGCTCCATCAGGTTCTCCAGCTCATCATTCAACCTCCCGTCCTCTGGGGCAATCTTTTCAAGGCCTACGAGCAAGCTCACTTCAATGAGGATGATCTTCGTGTCTTTGCATGGCTGTGCTTCGAGCTTGCAAGCATCCAGGGCAAAGACCATGATAGTATCATTGGCGACATATCGTCTGCGCTGGACCAGAACCCGTTCAAACAAGCCCAGGATCATAGGACCCGCGACCTGACTTATAGGATCAAGAAGGTTCTTGCCCTGAGATCTTCTGCCAGCCCCGGAGAAAACCTTGAAACTGCTGGTGGCCGCCACGATAACGACTTTGCCAACTTCCGGGAGATCTCAATCTTCCCCACTAGCGACGAATTCTATTCCAGCGAAGTCCCATTCTACAGACGGGCATCCGAACTTGCCACCATCGGGGCTGCTGACCGACCGCGACTCCATCTCGACAACCAGTTCCGTCTCTTGAGAGAGGACATGCTTGGCGAACTCCGCGATGACCTGAAGGTGGCCATCGGAAGGAAGAGAGGAAAGAAGAGTCCTCAGATCCTCAGCGGACTTGTCCCGTTCGGTATTGATACTGGCGATGAAAAACGGGGACGCTCGACTGCCTTGCTTCTCCATTGTTATTCCGGATTGGAAATATTGCGTCCTCTTTCTCTCGCCAAGCGCAAGAAGTTCCTGGAAGACAACAAAGGGTTCCTTCGTCACCAATCTTTCGGCGCTCTTTGCGGCGACAACAACATCGTCGCCTTTGCCTTCCTGGTCAGGGATGTTGACCAGCTGGTGAAAGGACCGCCTGCAATTGCTTTGCAGTTTACTAGCAGCGAGGCTCTCGCTAGAGCCCTGAATGCTCTTCAGTCACCCAAGGACCTCCGGTTCGTGCTAGTGGACACCCCCGTCTTCGCCTATCAACCAGTCCTCGAATGCTTGCAGGATATTACTGAGATGCCCATGGAGGGAGGCCTTCTCCACCTACCAGACGATGATGAGGATAGCCGGCCTAAGCCTCTCGAGCTCTCGCCGAGAGCACAGGCTCATGTGAAAATATTGGAGAAGATGGTAGAGCGAGGCTCATCAGTGAAGGGTCTCGCCATAGGCGGCAAAAACTTCCGGCTCGATGATTCCCAGACCAAGTCTGTGCTGCATGCGCTTCAGAGCCCAATCGCCCTCATTCAAGGCCCGCCTGGTGTGTATTTCACCTTCTAGGCTGCTGTGCCTACACTACCTATATCGGAGAGACATTGTGACTGACAAACCAAACCAAATAGGTACTGGGAAATCCTTTGTTGGCGCATTGGCGGCAAGGATTCTTCGGGACAACAGCAAGCGTATCCTGGTTCTCAGCTACACCAACCACGCCCTCGACCAATTCCTCGAAGACTTGATGAACATCGGTATCCCGTCTGGTGACATAGTGCGCCTCGGCTCCAAGTATAATGAAAAGACAGAGAAGCTGCTACTTGACAAGCAGCTAAGGGGCAGCTCTTTCAAGAAGACTCGGGAGGCATGGATGATGATCGACGCGGCGAAGTCCGATTTGGCCGACATACGTGAGGAACTCCAGAATGCCTTCAATGCCCTTGCCAAGAGCAAGGTCAGCTTTGTCGACCTGTTAGATGCCCTCGAATTTTCGGACGACGACCAAAACTTTTACGATGCGTTCGCTCTCCCAGAGCAAGAGGATGGCTTTCAACTTGCAGGAGGCTCAAGAAGGGTCATGTCGGCCGACTATCTGATAGAACGATGGGCACAAGGCAAAGATGCTGGCGAGCTGAGGAAGACAATTTCAAAGGGCAGCAAACAAATTTGGCAGCTTCCCATCGCGCAAAGACATCAACATGTCGACAATTGGGTCCGGCGCCTACGGACAGAACAAATCGAGACAGTCTGGCGCCTCGCGGAGCGTTTCAACCAAAGCCAAAGCCAGCTCGAGACGCTGTTCAACGAGTCGAAATGCAGTCTGGTGCAGGACAAAAGCGTTCTGGGCTGCACGACGACTGCGGCTGCCAAATACAAATCTCTCATCAAGGCCGCCAGACCCGATGTTGTTCTCGTCGAGGAGGCTGGTGAGATCCTGGAGGCCCACGTGCTTACTGCCCTGCATCCAGCAACGAGTCAACTGATCTTAATTGGGGATCACAAGCAACTGCGACCGAAGATCAACAACTACACTCTCAGCGTGGAGAAAGGGGAGGGCTTTGATCTTAACCAGTCACTCTTCGAGCGTTTGATACTCCAAGGCCATGAGCATGTGACTCTCCAGAAACAACATCGCATGCACCCAGAAATCTCACATCTCGTCAGGCAGATGACCTACCCTAAGCTCCAGGACGACGAGAAAACCTTCCAACGAGCGGAGCCCAGAGGACTGCAGGGCAGAGTCAGCTTCATCAACCACAGCCATCCCGAAGACTCCGCAGACGAGATCGCCGATCGTCGCGACTCTGGTTTCACGGCAAGCAAGAAGAACCAATTCGAAGCTCAAATGGTACTGAGATTGGTGAGGTATCTGGCACAGCAAGAATACAAGACCAACAACATTGTCGTTCTCACCCCTTACCTTGGGCAGCTTCGTCTTCTCAGGGATATGCTGAGCGAAGAAAATGACCCTATTCTCAACGATATGGACTCTTATGAGCTCGTCCGCGCTGGACTGCTGACTGCAGCTGCTGCCAAAGTCAAGTCAGGCTCTGGCCTCATCAAGCTTTCGACCATAGGTATGTAAGACAGCCTGCTTAGAATGCTTCGCTAACGATCGCAGACAACTACCAAGGCGAGGAAAGCGACATTGTCATCGCCTCCATGACTCGCAGCAATAACAATGGGGATATTGGGTTCATGAAAGCGCCTGAACGGTTGAACGTCCTCTGTTCCCGCGCCAGAGAGTGTCTGATCATGATCGGAAACATGGAAACATTCATGAAGTCATCTCAGGGCAAGCAGGTCTGGGTACCGTTCTTTGCTTTGTTGAAGGAGAAAGAGTACTTGCACGATGGCATCCTTGTCCGTTGCAAGCAGCATCCCGACAAGACAGCGCTTCTGGAAAACCCCAAGGACTTCGACATCAAGTGCCCCGATGGTGGTTGCGACGCAATTTGGTAAGTTTAGGCCTTTGTGGCACCGGTTACTGCTGCTCTACCTCTGTAACTTTCCTCCCAGCTGACTCAACCTGCTTAGCAACGCTCCATTGTCCTGTGGTAAACATCATTGCCAGAGACGATGCCATCCCATTTCGAATCACAGCAAGGTTACATGCCATGAGCGCATCAAGAAGACGTGTGATCGCGGACACAAGTACAGCGTGCCCTGCACTGACGAGAAAGCTGGCTGTGGGGCTTGCCTGAGAGAGGATGAAGACACCCGCAGGAGGATACAGAGGGATCTGCGAATGGAGGAGGAGAGAATGCTGGCGCAAAAGCGATACGCCCAAGAACTTCAGCAGGTGAAGGACGAGCTTGACCACGAGAAACGAAGGCTCAAGTACGCTCAAGAGGATGAGGACCACAAGATCGCCATGGAAAAAGCTCGTGCCGATGTAGAAGCCCTGAAACAAACGAGGGCCCGTACAGAGGCGATGAAGACAGCTGCTGAGGCCGCCAAAAAGGTTCCAGGCGCGTTCCCCGAGACCGAAACATCGTCGTCGCCACCGCCTGCTCCAGGTAGCGCAAGGGAGGAGTGGGACATCTTGAAGAAACAGAATGGAGAAAGTAGCGCCGCGCTGGATGATGTAATGGACTTGATCGGCTTGGAAAGCGTCAAGGAACAATTCTTGTCTATCAAGAACAAGGTCGACACATCTGTGCTGCAGAATATTTCCTTGTCCAAGGAGAGGTTTGGCTGCACTTTGTTGGGCAACCCGGGCACTGGTATGGCTGGACTACCTCATAAGACAGGTGTTTACTAACGTTTTGTGTCCAGGAAAGACAACCGTTGCACGAATCTATGGGAAGTTCCTCACATCCGTTGGGGTCATCGCCGGCAGTTCGTTCAATGAAACTACGGGCTCAAAGCTTGCGAACATGGGCATTGGTGGCTGCCAGAAGATGGTTGAGAAGATCCTTGAGGACGGCGGCGGTGTAATCTTCATTGACGAAGCCTACCAGCTCTCATCTGGTAACAGCCACGGTGGGAAGGCAGTGCTCGACTTCTTACTCGCCGAAGTTGAAAATCTTACAGGGAGGATCGTCTTCATATTGGCCGGTTACAACAAGCAGATGGAGACTTTTTTCGCCCACAATCCTGGCTTCCCGAGTCGCTTCCCGATACAGATGAAGTTCGATGACTACAATGACGACGAGCTTCTCCAAATCCTGCAACGGCAAGTCAGGCGGAAGTATGAGGGCCGGATGAAATGGGAGGATGACCTTTATCTTCGAATCGTCGCCCGCAGACTCGGCCGTGGACGAGGCAAAGAAGGATTCGGCAATGCTAGAGCGGTCGAAAACCTTCTGAATGTCATATCTGGCAGGCAGGCCAACAGGATCCGCAGAGAGCGCAAGAAGGGAAAGAAGCCGGAACATTGGTTGCTCACGAAAGAGGATATGATCGGCCCAGAGCCCTCCAGTGCTCTCGAAAAGTGCCCGGCATGGATAAAGTTGCAGAAGCTCATTGGACTTTCATCGGTAAAGGCGTCCGTCAAGGCATTGGTTGACAGTATTCAAACCAACTATCGTCGGGAGCTTGCAGAGGAACCCGTCATCGAGTATTCCCTCAACAAGGTCTTTCTCGGCTCACCTGGTACCGGAAAGACCACAGTCGCGAAGCTCTACGGACATATACTCGTTCATCTGGGCCTCTTGTCCAATGACGAAGGTGAGGTTGCGACCAAATTTATGTTGGCTTTTCTAATATTTGCTAGTAATTGTAAAAAACCCTGCCGACTTCACGGGCGCTGTTCTGGGAGGGTCCGAGGCCCAGACCAAAGCCATTCTCGCCGCCACCGTCGGAAAGGTGTTGGTCATCGACGAGGCGTATGGCTTGTATGGAGGCGGTGGTGCTTCTGGCGGAAACGCCACTTCAGACCCTTACAAGACTGCAGTCATTGATACCATCGTTGCCGAAATCCAGAGCGTTCCGGGAGAAGATCGTTGCGTCCTCCTGCTCGGCTACAGAGACCAAATGGAGGAGATGTTTCAAAACGTCAACCCAGGCCTCAGTAGGCGCTTCCCCATATCATCTGCATTTAATTTTGAAGATTTCGGTGGCCCCGAGATGCGGCAGATTTTGGACTTGAAGCTCAAGGATCAGGCATTCACGGCAACAGATCAGGCGAAGCAAGTGGCGATGGAGTTGCTGGACCGCGCGCGCAATCGCCCTAACTTTGGCAATGCTGGTGAGATCGATATCGTTTTAGACCAGGCAAAGATTCGCCATCAACAGCGCCTATCCTCCAACCAGACGACCCAGGTGTCAACCCTCGAACCGTTCGACTTCGACGAGAACTATGACAGAGCAGAGAGAACGGACACCAACGTAGCTAAGCTATTCGAAGGCACCGTCGGTTGTGAAGCGATTGTGGAAAAGCTGCAAGGCTTCCAAAAGAATGTCCGCGCGATGAAAGAGCTTGGCATGGATCCGAAGGAGAACATTCCCTTCAACTTCCTCTTCCGTGGACCGCCAGGAACCGGAAAGACGACGACGGCAAGGAAGATGGGCAAGGTGTTCTATGACATGGGGTTTTTGGAGAACGCAAAAGTCATCGAATGCTCGGCAACAGATCTCATTGGATCGTATGTTGGACAGACCGGCCCTAAAGTACAACAACTTCTTGACAAGGCGCTTGGCCGCGTCTTGTTCGTTGACGAAGCCTACCGTCTTGCGGAGGGCGGCTTCGCCAAAGAGGCTGTCGATGAGCTCGTTGATTGCGTGACGAAAGACAAGTACAAGGGCAAGTTGATCATAATTCTTGCAGGTTACGACAACGATATCAACAGGCTACTGTCGATCAACCCAGGCATGTCCAGCAGGTTCCCGGAGGCCATTCAATTTCATCCCCTTGGGCCAGGACAGTGCTATGAGCTCTTGCTTCAGCTGCTGCTAAGACAGAAGTGTGAATTTGAGGCAGCGAAATCGACGACAAAGGTTCTGGTAGACTGCCTGCATCAACCTAGCGACGATTTCAAAGAGGACGTCCTCATGTACTTCAGCGACCTTTCCAGATTGTCCAGCTGGGCCAGTGCCCGAGACGTGGAGTGCGTCAAGAAATCCATCTTCAATGAGGCCATGAAGTCGCGACAGCGCACCACGATCGAAGTTACAGAGGAAATTGTCACGGCGGAGCTGCACAAAATGCTTGAAGAGCGCGAGAGCCGCGAAAGACACGAGGGAACCTTTGGTAACATACCGCAATTGCCAACCCTTCAGATGGGGCCTTCACCCGAAGCTCATCATCAGGTTCGGACTCAGCAGCAGACCCAGACAACGACGACCGCTGCTTCCGAAGGCGAGGAGATAGTCTACACGCCACCTGAAAGTCCAGTCGAAGAGGAGGTCAACAATGGAACTCGGCTGGTCAATCGAGATGATGGTGTCAGCGACGCGGAGTGGGCGCAACTCGAGCTGGACAAGAGACTCCGGGAGGAGAAGGAAGAAGAGTATCGCGTTTTGATGAAGGCTCAAACACAAGCGACCAACGCCGCAAGAGAAGCCATTCTGAAGTCTTTGCTCGAAGAAGAGGCTGAAAAGAAAGCTCAGGAGGAGAGGGACGAAGAACGTCGGCGCCAGATCGAGGTTCGAAGAAAGAAGGCGGCCGCGGAAGCTGCCGCCGCCGCTGCCGCGCGAGACGCCATCCGGAACCAGATGATCAAGGAGGAGAAACAGCGGCAGAAAGAGGAAGAAGAGCGTAGGAAAGCAGCGATTATTGGCCAATGTTGTGCAGGATTCGAATGGATCAAACAGCATGGCGGGTACAGGTGTGCTGGAGGCAGCCATTTCGTCACGGACGCCGAGATTGCCAGCGCTTGAGGGTGTTCGCGAAAACTCGCCGACGGAGAGCAAACAAACGGAGTAACTTGATAAGGTAGCTAAAACAATCTTCAAGTCCAATCCCTCTACCGAGATACCATTCAATAACCCGAGTCAGTCGTGATAGCGGCTGGACGGCATCTCTGGAGAACCCGAGAAACTCTCGCAAGTAGCCAGGCCCGCGTCAAGCCACCTCTTTTCTCAACGGAATCAAGTCCAGGGTTATAAAGAAAGAACATAATCTGACCCTTAAGCCGGTTAAGGTTTGATATCTTTGGTCAAAGTCCCATATTTCTCGGCTTTGACCGACTTCCTGGCTGTCCGCAGGTCACATGGATGAGTTACAGCCTGGCCTTGCGGAGCGTCGCATCGACTCGCGCCGTCTCAGCCTCCCAGATAGGAAGTTTCCTAGTTCATATATAGCCGTGTCAACCCCAGAAAATATGATTTAAACTGGAGCACCGAACCGAGCTGGTGGAATTCGATCCATCTCAGTTCATCCGTTCTTTTTCGTGCCGCCTGCCTCCTGCCAAGTCCTTCCAACCGCGTCGATCGCTGGACAGTCCTACGTCAACCATCTTTTCGACTAATCTTTCACTTCTTATGGATACTAAATCACAGTACTACACGACTTCTTTTTCATCATCAACATGCAGGTTTCTTCAGCTTTTCTTGCCGTCTTGGTGGCCTGTTCTGCCGGTGTTTCTGCGCTCCCGTGGGTCTTCCGTGCTTCTAGGCTTGCTGTTTGTCAACAACCGCTCACGGCGGTTGATCGGAACTTGTCCTTGTTGCTAATTCTTGATGTCCTGGAACGTAGGCAAGCCATAACGAGAAAAGCCACTGACTTCGGAACCTACTTTTGCCAGACTCGCACCGACGCCGGCAGCAAAATTGTGGCCAACAACAACTTTTGCAAGGCAGCTGGCGGAGCAGTTTTGGCTTCGGAGGGTGCAAGTACAACCATATGCCGTCATTGTCTCTCGGCCAAAACAATTTGCAAGCATTGTAGGAGGCAAGAGATGAGCTACCTGAGAAGAGGGCTAAAATGAAGCCTCACAGTTCTGCTGCATCCGAAACAACAATTTCAAGGTTCCCCAGGCCATGGTGAAGGGCTGCAACGACAACAAGCTGGTCTTCAGCCAGAATGACACTCCTTGCTCGCCTTAAGCAATGAGATTGTTATGGGACGAGCTATTGCCCTCGATTTACGGATGAAGCAAGGTCTAACGGCTAGTAGCATGCGTTGGAAACAGACCTAAGTAGTTACTGTACATAAGGCCATATGAGATAATCCAATCATTCGCCTAAGCTTATTTTGTCAAAGTTCCTACAATATGAGGAATGACTTCGTTTGGTGACTCGCCCGCCGGTGCCGCCAGATCGACCTCAGCCCACGGTCCAACCTGTAGTAGAGTCTGTCCCGTCCGCCGACAGAGGTGGCAAGAGCCCATCGCTTGTTCCCAAAAGATATTTGTGAATCCTGGCAAAGTTAGCGACTGCCCGACGACACAGAGGTTCTACATCTTACTCTGGTAAAGCGGGATCACCAAGCCACGCTCCGCCTTCACGTGCTCATATACGTACCACTTCCCTCCCTTCTTGAGATAGCCGTAAAGCAAGCGTATGTTCTTCTCGGGCTCTGGAATGCTGCATAGACACTGGACGGTCATGATGCAGTCCACACTCCCAGGCTCGATCTTGCCTCCCCATGCCGTCTCATTCTGCAGGTCCTCGATGCCGACCGGAACAACCTCGTACGTCTTTTCCAACCCTGCCTCCTGTGCTCGGCGCTTCAGCGAAGCAGCAGACAAGGGGTTCGGCTCAACACCATAGATCTTTGTCGGCCCACGAAGACTTTGGGCTTTTGCAGCACCGAGGACTTTGACATGCGCGTCCATCCACATGCCACTGCCGGCGCCGATTTCAAGAACGATCCCCTCGAGCGGCTTGCCAGACATCTGAGCAGAAACATTGCCTCCGCGAACGCGACCCTCGAGGAGCGGGAATACCATAGGCTCTGCGCCGGCTTTGGCCTTGGGGCCCATAACGACCCAGAAGTTGCCGAACCATGGTTCTTTAAAGGCGGACCAGGACAAGAACGCTTTGACGTCACCGGCGGCGACCAGCTTTGCGACCGTTACGGGGAGATAGACGAGGGAGAAGGCCATGAACAGCCATGGCTGAATCAAGTACGTGATCATTTTGCTAATTAGATGAGTGAACTCTCATTAGATTGGCGAGGGTGCAATGAGGTTAGTTCAAAGTCAGGTCATTTATGTGGCGGAGCTGAACCCCGGAGAGTTTGTTGCCCAAAGTGTCCGCGAGACCCCTCATTCAAACCCCGCCCGAACCACAACTTCGGCCGAGGGACACGGGCGACTGTCGGTTGTACAGTACTCAGCACTCGGACATGCGAGCGAGTATCACTGATTCATTCGCAGGAAATTGGTTCGTCGTATCAAGCGATGAAAGACAGCTCGAGTGACGCAATTACACGAATTATGGAAATTATTCCTGCATGGGAGGCCAAAGCCCGAGATGAGATTTTCTATGTACAAGATGCGACTAAGTCTATGATGAGATGGTAATATTACATGAGGCATTACTGTTCAAGCCTCTAGAGCTTCTTTGCAGGCTTGACGGAAGGCTCCTTGCTGACGCGCTTGTTCACGCTGTCGTGCTCGTGCAGCTCGGGCTTGGAGTCCAGGGGACGGTCAAGACCGAGACGGTGGTAGGTGCTGTAAGAAGCGATGCCACCCTCGGGATCGGCCTCAGTCACGAGCTCCTTGCGGCGGGTGTCGACCAGAAGACGAATGAGATCGGGGCGCATGTAGTGGCCGGCAAAGTCAGCGAGGACCTTGGTGAGGTGGTTCTCGTTGAGGTCGATGTCGACGAACATCAGACCGTCAAAGTCCTTGTCGGGCTTGGCGACCAAGCTGCCATCGGGCTTGTAGATGCGAGCATGGCCGTTGTAGACGGAGGGATCGGTCTCGGGCTCGACACCCTCGGGGGTGTTCTTCTTCAAACCCTCGACGGAGAGACGCTGGAAGGGAGCGAGGACCCAGGTGCCGGTCTCGATGGCGTAGGCAGGGGTGACGAGGTCGGAGGCAGGGTCGGCGTAGTTGGTGGCCGGGTCGGGGGCGACCTGGCGCTCCTTGCCGGGGTAGACGGGCCATCCGGCGACGTGGACCTGCTCGCCCATGGAGACGTTGAGGGACTTGAGGAAGGGGTTCATGTTCTCCCAGCAGTTGAGCTGGCCGACGCGGCCGATGCCGGTCTCGGAGACCGAGAGGAAGGTGTCGCCGGAGCCGTCGCCGTAGACGAGCTTCTCGACGTGGGTGGGCTTGATCTTGCGGCGGTGGTTGATGACGGTGCCGTCGGGGGAGATGAGGACCTGCGAGAGGTAGAGAGTGGCGTGGTCGAGCTCGGAGAAGCCCATGGAGACGTAGATCTGGTTGTCGCGGGCGGCGCGGCGGATGCGGCGCATCTCCTCGGAGTCGACGCGGAGGGAGTTCTCGCGGTACTTCTTGAGCATGGGAAGGGATTGCATGTAGGTGACCTTCCACATCCAGTAGGGGTAGCCAGGAATCCCTGGAAGGGGTTAGCATGTTGGCTGCTTGATGAAAAATGGAGGGCGACTGACAAACTTCGGGGAAGGCGACCAGCTTGCAGCCAGCCTGGCCTGCCTCGTTGATGAAGTTGATGGTCTTCTGGACACCACCCTCGAGGTCGAACCACTGTTCAAGTTAGCATCGGTTTGAAGCTGGGGGAAGAAGAAATATTACACCGGGCTCGGAGGTGACAGCGGCGGCCTTGTACTTGGTGATAGGCATGTTGAAGATTGTTGATCGAACGAGTTCGAGATGTGAGATGGTTGTTTGCGTGAGACTGTGAGTCTGGATTGATGTGTTTGAGTGTGATGCTCCAAAAAGAAGACTCGAACTTTTAGAAGAATCTAACGTCCTTATATGGTTTCTAAGTTTCCATGTCCAGAGTCTGTTGGACAATCACCGTTGAACGCCTCATCAAAATGCTCGGTATCAATGCTCAAGCATATTCTTGGATCAAGTTGAGCAAGTTTGCTCAAGCCCGAGCCCCGTTCTACGCCGTCTGGGTGTGGCGTGATCGATATCCATCTTTTCCGGGAACCAAGTGCGGAACGCCGTTGCTGTGACTAGAAGTACCTGAAATTTTACGCAGCAATTACCTTACCATCAAAAGGCAATCTGGGGAATGAAGCTCGGACTGCTCCCTAAGGAGCATTCGCTCTGAAGTCTGAAGTATAATTCCGAGTTTCGACGAATTTCCTCCGGAGTCACGCGGCCAGCAGAGCAAAAGCCGCGACCTGTCGTGGCACGACTGGTGTGACGTAAAGCCACCGCCGACTGCCGCGTTTCTCCGGATCGATCAGACCAGATCGGTGGATGAATTAATTTAGCTCCCGTCTTCCCGGCGGCGCAGATCAAATCTGCGCCCCTCCGGGACCATCACCGGTGGTGGGGCGCCGGGGTCTGGTGTTACGTGCTGTTTTCAAATCCCGGCGGGGGCAGCGCAGACACCTACATCGTCCGATGTTCGGGAACGCTCGATCCCGATGGCAAATGATATGGAGATGGCCGGTAGTCACGGGGGATGGAAGTTATGATGAATGCCTCTTCGCTTTTATTGATTCTGTGCATCTGAGTCCTGGTACTCCCAAGCGTCCAAACTCTGATGTCCTGGTCCTGCTTACAAAAGGTCCTGTATTCCCATTTCCCAAGTGAACGCCGAAATCCGTTCCTCCGTTGTCAATCAAACCAAATCAAAGACGACCTCTATGAATCGATTCGAAGTCATACGCGCCTGACCTAGTTGAGCAAGTGGTCACGGCCGAGGATGGTGAGCATGACGGCCTTCCAGAAGGGAGCCTTCTCGACGTAGTCGCCACCGGCATTGTTGGTCTTGTCCCAGAGGCTGGGAAGACCCTCAGCACCGTACTTCTTGCGGAGCTCGTCATACTTCTTCTTGTCGTAAATGGCCCAAAACTCCTCCTCGGTGTAGTAGTGATGGGCGTAGAGCCACTTGAGGCCACCGAGCTGGCGAACCTTCTTCTCGATGTTGCGGTTATCCTCGACGAAGCGCTTGAAGGCAGCAGCACCGATGGGGTTCTCGTAAAGAGGCCAGGAGGCAGTCTTGAGACCCCAGAGACCGACGTTGATAACGGTCTGGTCGGTGTTGAGACTGTTGGCGAGATGAAGGGTGGCCTCGGTCTTGGCCTTAATGGGGCAGAGCCACATGGGGTAGACGTGAACGGAGTCGTCGGCCCACTTGAGGAACTTCTCAATGTTCTCCTGGGGAATAGCCAAGTCCTGGACGATGAAGGCCTGGGAGCGACCGCTGTTATGCATGGTGCGGTACAGGTTGCGAGTGTGCATGAGGGGGTTCATGAAGAAGCGCGAGAAGCGGTTGAACAACGCCGGCTTCTGGCCGTACGTTCCCATCCAGAAGGCGCCTCTGTCGTAGCGGAAGAGGTAGTCCTTGACAGGGACAAGCTCGACGACGGTGCCCTTGGCGCAGGGGTCGCGAGCCTTTGAGTAGGTGCAAGTGTCGCAGTCGGTGTGACGAGCGTGGGCAATGGACTCATGGGCGTGAAGGTAGAACCAGGGATCCTGAGCGCGGCTGAAGCGGACAATGGGAACGCCCTTCTTGGCATCATCAGTGAAAGTGCCGAGGATGATGACACCACTAGTAGGGCCAAAGAGGATGGCCTCGACGAAGTTGACGAACGAGACGTTGTCAGTGTAGAGCTTCAGCTTCTCCGTGGCGTCCGAGATGGAGTGGACGGGGATGTAGCGAAGTTCGACGTAGCGATGAGCTTCAATGAGCTGGATCTCGAACAAGGTGCAGACGCCGAGGGTACCGCAAGCTCCAATGGCTCCGTTGAAGAGGTCGGGGTTCTCCTCGCGAGAGGTCTTGATGAGACGACCGTCGGGGAGGATGATCTCGACAGAGATAACGGACTGGTCGAAGTAGCCATGCTGGAACGAGGAACTCTCGGCAGCGGTGCCAGAGAAGCTGCCTCCAACAGTGATGCCGGGGAACTCAGGAACAACCTTGGGAATGAGACCGTGCTTGAGAGCGGCGGTGACGAGAGCGTCCATCGAGACGTTGGGCTCAACGACGGCGATCTTCTTGGCTTCGTCGATCTTGATGATGTTGTTCAAGTCGCTAATGTTGAGAACCTCGGAAGCCTTGCGGGTGCTGGGACGAGTGCTGTTGGTGTCGCCATGGTAGATTCTGAACTTGGTGTCAGCGGCGATGAAGCTCTTGATCTGGGCAATCAGGCTCTCGGTAGCAATCTTGTGGTGCTTGAACTTCTTCGCGTCCATGTTTGCGATTGGCGATGCGTAGATCGTCTTCTGATGGTCGAGCGATGATTTGATGATTTTTGTGAAGCCAGTCGAGATTTTGACCGAGGTGGTTGTGGATTGAAAATATTTTCGAGGGCAGGATCGCAAGAAGCGAAAATAAAACTCTTCAGGTAGGCAAGTCTCATTGAGCAGACGACTAAGCGGGAAGAATAACAGACTGGTGAAGCAAAGGAGCTGTCCGGAAGGCAGCGGAATGTCCTGAACAGCTGGGTCGTTGTGTCTTGCTCGGGAGTCCCATCAGCAGAGAGACTCCGTCGAGCTAGGAGCGAATGAGAGCAGTGAACTCGAGTCTAACCCTGAGGTATGGAACTGACCGGCAGCAGATTGGGCAATATCAGAAAGAACGACAGTGAGGTTTTGAGGGATTGAAATTGGACGTCCTCAAGGACAAAGCATTTGGCTTACACCCAGGACGAACTCAAAATGCACCATTGTTCTTTGGAGGGCTGCTTTGTGATATGTGTGTCTTCTTATGATACAAAGCACCGCAAACGGTCGATCAAAGGCTGCCTGAGATGATGAGATGGGTTTAATTGGAGCAAATTGATCTTTTGGCAGTCTTTCAGGCAAAGTATGGATTTCAGGGTTGTCTGCCAACTGTGATGGAATGTTCTGGCGTAAGAAGTTGGGATGAACTCTCTCGAGTTTAGGTTTGTGTAGATTTTGCCCCTTCACACCTTTCTCTAGGGCTCTCTTAGTGAAATTGCCCATGAAAGGTTTCTTGCATTTGTGTGAGTTGAATCTTGACTACAATCGGTCTATTCATGTAGAATTGCCTTTGCTGGAGATGGGCTTGGTGGCCGCAAGGCTGATTGCAAGCAAACTTGGCGATTGCATGGAAACTCTCATCAAACAATTGTCGTGAGAATTTTGACCACGGGCTTCAATCGAGAACTAAGTTCTAGACAAGAAAATTATCCGTCAATTGCCCGATGCTAGATGCACACACGCCACCGTGACTCAGCTGGGTATACCAGCTCGCACAACAGCATGGGAGATGTGACATGTGCCGACAACTGTTGACATTCATATTCATATTTATATAGCAAAGAAAAGGTAGTACAATTCAAAAGAAAGCTGCTCAATTGGAAGCAAGATTGCCCTGTTTATTGATGGCGGGCCGATGGCGGCCTATGAATCCGGATGCACGAGATAGCGGGCGATTAGCTGCTTAAAGTCGGATCTGATAAGTCAAACTCTCGGCAATTGTCAATCTTTCTAACGGGAAACGTCATCTGGCTTGCTTATCGCAGATGAAGCCACTTTTGGCTGGGCTCTCCGGGTTCACGAGGTGGCTTGCAGCGTCGTTCAAATATTGGACGTCATCATCCCGTCAAAATCGGCGGGACCGATCACCGGCGGCACCTGCTTGAAAATTTTCCAACGTTCTCATGGAAAGCGTCGTTGAAATCCAACGTTGGTGTTTCCATCTTAATTCTGAGCTGCTGAAGGGAAAGAAGCCACCAGGATGCCATCCAAGATGAGGAAGGCCTGACCGACGTCCCCCCTGATATTGCCCATGCCCGTCACACCCGCCTCTTTGTCCTTTCCTGTCACTTCAATATTCTTTCCAGAACTCACATCAGTCTTCTGTTTTGATCTTTCCCAGTTATTTCTGTTTCCCTTTGTCACCTGACTGACATCGATGGCCACTTCTCGACATCCCGACGTCGTGGCCGTGGTCGTCAAACGTCCCTTGACGTCCTGCATCGAAATCCTCGTTTGTCATCTGTCTTCACTTCATCAATTTCCTTATCAATTCAAGCTCGAAGATCTGTGGCGTGAGTCACTACACCCGGGATCGCAAATTTGTCTATACTGTATTTCAATATCGACCCTCGCCGCCCGCCTTGTCCCTTCGACACTACCACGACCTCGTTGTCGGACAATATCCAACGCCCTCTTTTGCTTCCAGCATGTCTCAGAGTAACAGGCAACTGGCCAGTTCCCTCCTAGCTTTTCATACTGCGCTTGATGCACTGCGCCAATTGCATCGCCTCATTGACAACGCCCCCGCGGAAGAACTTGTTTACTTCACCTGTATGCTGGCCCTTGACGCATGCGGCGACGACGACCCGGACTTGCAGTCGGAATCTTCAGACTCGGGCGACGACGACGTCAACGCAAATATGGCCGATCCTGCCGACATTCCTATAGATCCACCGAAAAACGAGGACTATACCGATGCCGACGGGGACTCCGAGATGACAGACGCCCCTGCACAGGAACTCGGGACTCTGCTGGATCTGGACGACATGTTCGAGACCTTTAGCCCGGTAGACGAATTAGATCGTCAAGACCAACGATCTGACGCATCTACACTGAGGGACCTTGGGGTCATACAGAATTTCACGAGCATCCAGATCCATCAGATCGCTGATGCAGAAACGCTGCACGGCCAAGAAGCAAAGCATACGAATAGT